AAATAGGCAAAAGGCATGAAAAGGCACTTTACAGATGCTATAAGCACTTGCAAAAGTGCTTAAACCAAATCATCAGTCTTCAAGAAAATGCACTGTACTAACTGTGCTCACCAGAATGGCTAAACAAACAAAGAACACAAGAGGAAACCCTAACAATAAAACAAGTCATCAAAGTGATGTAGGTACAGAGCAAATCAACTTTCACTACTGGAATGAGCACTGATACAATCACTTTGGAAAAACGGTGGTAGTATCTACTAAACTGTAGCAGTGATCCAGCAATTCCACTCCTGGGTGCAGATACCTCCCCCAAATTAATACCTTAGTGCTATGTTTAAGAATGCTCACAGCAGGGGCGCCTGGGTGGCTCAGTTGGTTAAGCGACTGCCTTCGGCTCAGGTCATGATCCTGGAGTCCCTGGATCGAGTCCCGCATTGGGCTCCCTGTTCAGCGAGGAGCCTGCTTCTCCCTCTAACCCTCCCCCCCTCATGTACTCTCTCGCGCTCTCTCAAATAAATAAATAAATCTTTAAAAAAAAAAAAAAAGAATGCTCACAGCAGCCTTAGTTTATAATAGCCAGAACCAGAACTATCACAAATGTCTATCATTAGTGGTATCTACATGCAACAGAATAAATATTACAAAACCACGTAAAAGAACAAACTACAGCTCCAGGTATAAGTTTTGAACAAAAAGAAGCCAACAGAAGAGTACATGAATTCATTTACATGTATTTCAAAAACAAGCAAGACTGTTCTTGGCATAACACCAAAAGCACAAGCAAAAAATACAATGGATTCCAGGGCCACCTAGGTGGTGCAGTCAGTTAGGCCTCTGACTCTTGGTTTCAGCTCAGGTCGCGATCTTAGGGTCATGAGATCAGGCCCCACGTCGGGATCTGTGTTCAGTGTGGAGTCTGCTTAAGATTCTCTCCCCCTTTCCCCTTCGCCCCTGTGCTCACACTCTCTCTCCCTCCAAGTGAATAAATCTTTAAAATAAAAAAAACTGGACTTCATCCAAATTTAAACCACTGGGCTTCAAAGAACATCACCATCAAAGTGAACATAACCCACAGAATGGGAGAAAATATTTGCAAATCATAGGTCTGGTATGTCCTAAAACATGTGTACCGAGATATAGAAAAAACTCTTAACACCTCAACAACAAAAAGACAACACAGTTGAAAAATGGGAAGAAAAAAATGTAAAAATACATTTTTCCAAAGAAGATATATAAATGGTCAATAAACATATGGAAAGATGTTCAACATCATTGGCCATTTGGAAAATGCAAATCAAAACCACAGTAGCACTTCACAACCACCAGGATGACCATAATCCAAAAGACTAACATTAGCAAGTGCTGGTGAGGATATGGATCATACAAATCATACACTGATAGTGGGAATGTAAAATGGTACAGTCATTTTAGACACCAGTTTGTCAAAAAGTTAAATATAAAATTACCATTTGACCCAGTAATCTACTCCCAGGTTTATACTCCAAAGAAATGAAAACACAATTACCTGTACACAAATGTTTGTAGCAACATATTCACAATAGCCAAATGGTGGAAACAACCCAAATGTTCACCAACTAATGAATAAAACGTAGTAATGTCCATAGAATGGAATATTATTCAGCCATAAAAATGAATGAGTGCCTGACACAAGCTACAACATGGATGAACCTCATAAACATCATGCTCCATGAAAGACAGTTACCAAAGACCGCAGTCTGCATGATTCCACTCATACGAAATGACTAGAACATGTAGAAAGGGGATTGGTAGGTGCCTAGGACTGGGGGAGAGAGGACTCGGAAAAAAGAGACAGTGACTCCTAATGGGTACAGGATTTCTTTCTGGGGTGATGTTAACTGTTCTGAAATTGTGGCGGTCAGTGGCACAACTCTGAATATACTAAAAACCATTAAAATGTACACTTTAAATCATTAACTGTGTGGTATTGTGACTCACACCTTAACAGAGCTATTAAAAATAAGACTAAACTCTACAATGAGGGCGCCTAGGTGGCTCAGTTGGTTAAAACATCTGCTGCTTTCGGTTCAGGTCATGATCCCAGGGTCCTCGTCCTGGGGATCAAGTCCCGGATCCCCGGACCGAGCTCCCTGCTCAGCAGGGAGTCTGCTTCTCCCTCTGCTCCTCCCCCTGCTTGTGCACACACATGCGTGTGCGCTCTCACAAAAATAAATAAATCTTTAAAAAATAATAATAAATAAATAAACTCTATGATAATATACAGCAGAATGAGTAAGCCACATTTGGGGTGAATAAATGGGAAGGGATACAAGGGAGGGTTCCCTAAGTGCAGGTAATGTTCTGGACCTTGTTCTGGGTAGTCACAGGAATAAATTCACTTGGTAAAAATTCATTAAGCCTGATACCTAAGAGGTATGCACATTACTATCGGTATGCTATACTTCAAATAAATTTTTTTTTAAAACTTTCCAAAAAATCTCGGAAAATTAAATTAGGGATTATTTACTTCCAGAAATTAGGAACCTAAGGAAATTGAGAGGTTAAAATGACTTGCTAAAGGTCAGATTCTAAATTAATGACAGAATTAAAGCTTGACTCCTATTGTTTAATTCCTATTTATAAACAATGTATACATAAAATGGACAAGTCCCCCCCCCAGTCCCAACAAGAGCTTTCATCACACTATCATGCTTACTTCCCCCCAAGCACTTAAAACATAAAATAATCTTGATTATCTGTTAATTTATTACTCTGTTTTTCCTCAATAAAATGTAAGCTACATGAGAGCAGGAACCTTATCTGTTCAGTACCATACCCCCAATACCTACAACAGTGCCTCGTACACACTAGGTGTTTAATAAGTATACAGAATGAATGACATCACTATACTTCAACTCCTTCTTGTGGTTTGTCTTTTCAAGGTGGGATTTCACTTTGATATTTGCCAGGATATAAGTGTTGTGCAAGTCTGACTCTGTTATATCTCAAATATACCTTCAGAAACAGTTTAAAAATGATAAAAATAAGTGTGAATTATGGAAATGTAAATGGTAGAATAGTTCTATTTAATGATTTAACTCATTTCAAATAATAATGACTTCAAAAAATTTTTTAATGAAGTATAGAAAAGTTTCTTCTCAAACAAAAACTTATAGGTTTATCTACTAAATATTATGACTTAGATATGACCAGAGTTACTGCATTTGAGTGAGAATTCAGCATAAATTACAAGACAATCATGCAGATTTTAGGACAGCCTGGGAAAGTTTTATTATTAGGGGGGAAAAAAAAAAACCCAAGAAACAAATTAGATGACCTCTGCCATAAGAGAGTTGACCGATTTGAAATTGTCTTCATAGGGACACTCTACATTCTTTCTTATGTTCTATCTTCCTTATATTCATTAGTGCTTTCTTGAGTAGTTTTCTGTGTGTAAATCATTACTATTTTTATTATACATCCTAAACAAACAAGATTGAAAGGTTTAGTAAGTAGCTATTCTAAAATAGTAAATAGTAAATTAAAAAGCTCTATCTCTTTAAAATCATACCAGTATCATAAATTTCTTTAAACTTTTTTAAAAAAACACACATTCCATTTTTTTACAGCATTCTTCCTCTAAAAGTTCTGCTTATTGTATTCACATGGCACTTAGTACACATTACCTCACTTTATATTTTTATGAATACATCTTATTTCTGCCAACCACACAGACTTCCCTCCCATGCATGCTATTTATTTGTATTCCTAAAATGCAGCACAAAGTAGGCACTTCATAAAGGTCTACTTTAATTGATGAAAAAGGAACCTGGAGTAGTAGCAACAGTATGAAGTTGGAATTCAGAAAATAAGTTCTGCCCTTGTGTTATGGTCTGCGAGCAAGTCTGTTTAATACCTCTGACCACTAAACTAAATAGTTTTCTAGGTCTTTTCTAGCTTTGAAAAGTGAGGCTTCTACTGAGTCAGAATAAAACATAGGTTTTTTTTTTCCTATTTCTTCTCTTAGAAATATTATTTCCAGTCCTCTTCAAATTAGAATGATCAACCAGTTTGCGGATTTATAGCAATCTCTGTGACTTCCCCTTTTAGGTACCCATTTGCAAATTATTCTCCCCACTGCTCAAGAGCATCTCCCCACCATGGCAGCCAGATGTAAGGAATGAAAATAACCCTTAAATAAGGTTATTATTTAATAAACTTTAAGGTTATTACTCTACTTAGAATAATAAAACTAATGGCTGCTTCTACTAGTTGTCAGGAAAGCAGGTATTAATTCTAATTTTACAAATAGTATTTCATATTACATCCCCCACCAACTTCTGCTTAGGAAGGAAAAAAACATCTTATTTTGCTCAATTCCTTTTTTCTTCTGTTCTTCCTACTCTTTGTTGTTTGAAAGTAGCATATCCTAGAGTTATTTACTATAAACCACTTGAAATCCAACATATCCTTTCTATACACCGCAGCATTTTGGTAACATTCTGCATGGGAAGTAGGTTCTTACCAAGGTGTTACCAAAAACCAACCCACTTCTATGTGTTGTGTATTTTTTTAATATACTAAAGTTTAGAGATTGAGTTCCAAAAGAGTTTATTACAGTCAGAACAGCTTAAAAAGCCTTAAAGTATTCAGATGCCTTAAAGTACTTAAATATCCAAAAAGCATCAAACAGAATGGCTTTTGTTTAAATGCTAGCAAGTACTGAAAATGTGTATTTATGGAACCCTGACGTAAGAGGAATAAATTAATATTTATATTCATTTCCGACCATAAGTAAGGCTACACATGAAAACACCTGTGTGTTTAAGCAAATGAAAGAGAAACTAGCACATGAGTGTTGCGTGTGCCTCAGTTAAACATGTTTATGATGTGATTCCATGACGTATTACTGTGACAATTAAGTGTAATTATTCTAGAAGACAAACGAGACTTAGCAGCAGTGAAGAACTATCAGACAAAGAGGAACAATGGTGAACGCCTTGTCAAAAGGAAATCACTACCTTTCTGGGCTTTCACCGTCTGCTCTTCAATCTGCCGCAGCCGCTCCATCAGCTCCTCCTTTTCCCGCTCTATCCTTTCCTTCTCCTTTTCTGCTATCTCCCTCTTCTTCTTTTCATTCTCTAGTTGTGCCCTGAAGAGGAATTAGAATTGTTCTGTTACAAATGAATACACAGAAATATCTACGTGAAATCCACGTACTGTGAGTCCACTAAGAATAAACTAAGTATAAATCTTTTAAGAATCTTCATTATATTCAGCTGGGCTTCAAAAAAAAAACCCATCCAGTTAAAAATATAGGACCGCCCTGTTATATGCACGTACACTGGAATACAATGCATTTCTTTTTGTGAGGTCATGGAAAATGTAGTCCAGGATTATTTCAAAAGTTAAAAGGGGTGCTTGGGTGGATCAACTGGTTAAGCATCTGCCTTCAACTCAGGTCATGATCTCGTGGTCCTGGGATGGAGCCCCGCTTTGGACTCCCTGCTCAGAGGGGAGTCTGCTTTTCCCTCTCCTTCTGCCCCTCCCCCAAGTCGTGCTCTCTCCCTCTCTCTCTCTCTCTCAAAATAAATAAAACCTTAAAAAAAAAAAGGTATTAAAAACTTAGACATTTTGGAAAGATTTTCAAGGGACAAATTTACAAAACAGCTAGGAAAATAAAACTGTCAAATACATTCCTCGTGTGCAAAGCATGTTTTTTATGCGGATTGAATGCGGGAAAAAATTAGGAGATTTATCACTTGCATACTCGATGAATTCTGACAATAAATTACAGGCCAGCACAAAAGCAGTTAACTGCACAGTTCCCGGTGAGCAAAATAAGAAAGGCTTGAAAGGGAGCACACAAGGTTATTTTACTTTAGACAGTTTAAGTAAGATAAACTGGGAGGGCAACAATTTTCAATCACTAACATGAATTAACACACTTTTTTTTATTTTTAAAGATTTTATTTATTTATTTGAGAGAGAGAGAGATAGCGAGAGCAGGAACACAAGCAGGGGGAGTGGGAGAGGGAGAGCAGGCTTCCTGCTGAGCAGAGAGCCCGATGCGGGACTCGATCCCAGGACCCTGGGACCATGACCTGAGCCGAAAGCAGACGCTTAATGGTTGAGCCACCCAGGCGTCCAAATTAACACATTTTTAATTCCTAAGGTAGTACCAATTTAATCTAATATACAAATGGCAAATCAGTTTTATCTCCTCTGACAACTCCATTAGCACGACAGTAGGTGTCGAATGCTGCTTAAGACAGATCATCCTGAGACCACCTCCCTCACTCAGCTGCACCTGCCAGGGGCCTAATGAAACTGCTTCTTTTAAATATAGCCAGAACTCTCATCACACAACTATCAAGAGCCTACCATTGGTCAGACTCTATGCTGAAGGCCAGAAATATAAACGAATAAGAACTAGATGAAGCACTACCAGATAATATTGTCTATTTCATAAATTTAATAGTCAATATTCCCATTATTTTAATGGGAATAATTTTCTCTTTCTTTAGTTTTAAAAAAATCAATTATGATTTCATGTCTGATACTTATCTGAATACATGTAAATATTCCCAAAAATTGCCACCTGAATTTCAGGCATAAAACCATGTACTATGAGCATAAATAGCATATTAATAAATTCAATTCTCTGGACTAACATGCAGAAAATATTTTAGAATACCTTACTTTTTAAAGAATATCAGATGAACCCAATTATATTTTTCTTCAGTGAAAATTAAAAGCTAACATATTCAGCTTCTATTCAGACTATGCATTAAAATAATATTAAGAATTATTATACTAGGTACTATTTATTAAACACCAGGTACTCTGCTGAACGTTTGTACACCACTATCATTATTTCTCACAAAAATCTTTGCATCCTTGAAGCTGGGTCCCAATGATACAGGCAAGCCAGCCATGACCCATCTCATAGCTAAGCTACAACTGGTACGTGGGTATCTGACTCTAAATTGTCTCCATTTTTAAACTTGGTAACAATTCTAGTTATACAGAACATGTTCAGGAATTACAGAATGAGTTATCATTCAACCTGGATGTAAATAACTTAGAACACAGACTATAGAGACCAACAATCCATGGAATATAATGTCGTTTTCATTGCCGAAAACCCAGTTATGGGAGTTAAGGGGAGAGAGTATGACCACATGTACCAAGGTACTGTAGGGAAAGAGGTCCCTTGCTGCCCCTTCCCAGCTACTGTTCTTGCCTAAGAGCTTCCAGCAGCACAGGCAGCACACCTCTGGGCATTCCCCCAAGTATCTTTGCTGGCTACTTTGCCAATGGCCTTCACCAAAACTGTTTCCACATATACAGTTGTCATTTTTCTCTTTCTGACCTGTAAAGCAGGGAATAAATGAAGACTTGGCATGCCATTTCTGAAAGACCTGCCAAATCCCTATGTGGTTAGATTAATACAAAACATCCTGTAGGCATTCAAATGAATTAGTTACTAAATTCCTACAGTGTACAGTCAATAAATGTTTGCTAATGAAACACCGTAAAATTTATCCAAGACAGAAACCATGGGATGGTTACTGTGTGAGCAAAGAAACTTAAAGTCTTCCACTTTCATCTAGGCTTCAGAGTAACTCAAATACAGTACCATCACCAAATAATACTTCTTTTTATTTTTTTAAAGATTTTATTTATTTGAGAAAGAGAATGAGATAGAGAGAGCATGAGAGGGGGGAGGGTCCGAGGGAGAAGCAGACTCCCCGCTGAGCAGGGAGCCCGATGTGGGACTCGATCCCGGGACTCCAGGACCATGACCTGAGCCGAAGGCAGTTGCCCAACCAATGGAGCCACCCAGGCGCCCGCACCAAATGATACTTCTTAATCATACTACATATACTAGAAGCCATACAGCACTCTCCTCTATGTGTGAGAAATAAAGGACAAATGGACAAATGTATTTAAGAATGTAAATAATATGTCAACACTATAGATAAGCAGAACAGTTAGGGGACATTCTATGGAATGATGAGTATGAGATACGATTTTTTAAACTCATGACGGGAGATCTTAGAGATGGGCCAGGAGAGGAAAGGAAGAGAGAGAGAGAGAGAGAGAGGGTGAGGGTAAGGGTGAGAGTGCATGAAAAGAAGGAAAAAAACTGTCTTTGAGAGAGAGAGATGGAAAAGCTACAATGAGTATGAATCTACCGAAAGTAAAGCACAGTAAAGAGCTACTTAGAAAGGCACGTAAGACTAGACCCCCAACGTGATCCTGAGCCACAGGGGAGCCCCGCCAATCCAACTTAGTGTCTTTAATTGGCCAGGAATTACTGGAAGGTCTCAAACCTAGATAAAAAATGTCTGGTGATGCAGTAAACTTCTCTAAGGCACAGCGTCTACGGCAGACAACCTGAGGAAAGCTATCTAAATTACACAGAACATCTAAGAAAAAGCAACAACAAAAACACCACATCACTAAACACAAACACTCTGTGGTAAGTCAAATTTTATCTAGCAGAGGATCTATTTAATTCTTAGATTCAAATCATGTTATTTCTAGTACATTTGAAATATTTAAGTTTATGTATGTTTAGAGCTCCTCAGTTTTGTTTTCTTTACGGCCTACTCTATTTCTTAGATGACTATGTTATTCTACAGTACAAAGATTTCCTCAATAAAAGTTAACTTTAGGTTGGTCTCTAAATTTTTTCAAATAAAATATTAAGTCCCAATCAATCTAGAATCAAATTTGGGAATTATCCTACTGGACCCAGTAATTTCATTCACTATCACTTTCATTCACTATCTTTCCATTTCAAAAACTCTCTAATATATACTTAATAGTATCTTTTTTCAAAAGTCTAAGTGAACCACAGTTAAAAAAAAAAAAAACAACAAATCAGTGTCACCGGCAGGGGTGCTGATGTTGCTCTGTACAGTGGCTTTTCACTTGAGTTCTCCAGTGTCACTGACACTGTTTTAAAGCAAAATATTCAGCGGGGCGCCTGGGTGGATCAGTCAGTTGAGAGTCCAACTCTTGATTTCAGCTCAGGTCATGATTGTGAGATCAAGCCCCACATCAGGCTCCACGCTTATGCTTGTTCCTCTCCCTCCCCTGCTTGTGCGTGTACACGCTCTCTCTCAAATAAACAAATAAAATCTTTAAAAAAAATAAATAAATAAAGCAAAATTTTTATTCAAGCAATTCTTACCCTGAAAAATTAAGAAGTACAAGTCACAAGCAGAACAAGCTTGAAAAATTCCAAACTACTACAGTACCCAAACTAATGTCGATTTGTGAAAGCATGCGTATTTAAAAAATTAAAAAAGCACATCTATGAATTCACGAAAAGCTACTTTCTCAGAAATACCAAAGGTTTCCAATTTGAAAAGCATATGTATGCATTTTAAGAGTATAAGGATAATTACTCATTCAATTATAATACAATTAAAACAATGTAAAAATGTAAACTCAGAGTAGGTTAAAGAAACAGCATTCTTAAATTTTTAATTAAGAATCAAAACCTTAAATTCCATACCTTTCCAACTGCTTCTGATGTTTCTCCTCCCTCGCCTGAGCCTTCATCTGCTGCACTTCAATAGTATCAGGCTTTCTTCTTCGCATGTATAGTTCATGGTTTCCCATACATAAAGCCAAAATCCGTTTGTTGATTCTCAGACGAGGTGCATAAAAAACAAAATCCTAAACATAAAGTTTCTGAATTTAAAATCTTCCTGAAGGATAGTCTCTCTCACCATAATCTGTACTAAATTTCAATATGCAGTATGAATTCGAATGTCATATTACACAGTTTAGAAATCATAAAATTTCCTAATTCCTAGTAAGTATGCCATATTTGCACATAACTGTGAAGGTTACCAACAAACAAGTGTTTTTAACTGCTCCTTAGGAATGGTGATTATTTTTAATCACCTCCAATAAAACATCATCCACCTTATAGCTGAATCTCAATTAAAGTAAAACTAATAGTCACATGTTATAAAAAGATCAAAACCTTGTATTTTTAATAATTCATTATTTTATCAGCAGGAAAGTTAAACTATGGAAAGGGAATGTTTCTCAGGAGCAAATCAATAAATGAACAATGCCACTATTAAAATGGTATCACAGCAAAGTGACAGAAATTTAGAAAGAGTTAATACAGAAAACATTTATAAAACAATTTTACTTACAGGTGCCTTTTTGTCGATCGGCTTTATAACAAATTTTTTGTCATTAAATGAAATATTTCTGATTTCACTCCAAGGAAAACCAATTTTTGGTGTTAACCTTAAAAAATGAGAGCATTCCTTTAATTAAAAGGAAAAAACAAAACATAAAATGTGTAACATTTTGGGGCCAAATTTCTGAATGACCAGTCTTAAGAGTGCCAGACTTTCAAATGCATTAGCTTACTTATACTATTGACATTATTATCTTTTAAGGGGAAATTTGATCAATTAAGCCACATAAAACAGAATAACTATCAAAAAATTTCATAATGTGTCAGGAGCCTTGAAAACACTATATTTATTTTCTTAAAATTACCTAGAAAACACTAGCAACCTAGAGTGTAGAACTGAGCTTCTTGGGGTGTTGTATGAGCTCTGCTTAGATTCAAGCTACTACAACTATTAGTTTAAATATGTTTAAGAAGCGGGGGGAGAAGTCTTCATAAGTTTTCATGTGAATTATGGACATGTTACTAAATATAAAAAAATTTCCTTTCTCTGTTTAAAAATGTATTTGTGAGTAACACTAAAAACACTAATTCTCAATATCTTTAAAATTAAGGGTTAATTTTATGGTATGTGAGTTATATCTCAACAGAAAAAAATTTAGACATTCACATACACAAATGTTTGGATAAATGGTAGAGCTGGATTTCCAACTCTAAGAAATACAGGTTACCCCCATTTTGCCACACTGCACACAAAGAGTCAAGGAATCAGAATGCAACAGTAATGTGTTTCTGCTTTTCGTGTATTTTACTGTCTCAGACTACCCATCAAATATGTCACTGTTATCTAATAATAAGTGTGCAAAATGATTATGATACCTACGCTGGCCAAAAGGTATCTTTCTAGTCTGTCTTCTGAGAAGACAGTATGAATTTCTACCTATTGAAAGTCCTTTTAATTCTTAAGGAGATTACGAACTGCAGCACAGCGAACAATTTTTCTACATAAAACTTCCTTCACTCGGGCGCCTGGGTGGCTCAGTCGTTAAGCGTCTGCCTTCAGCTCAGGTCATGATCCCAGGGTCCTGGGATCGAGTCCCACATCGGGCTCCCTGCTCAGCGGGAAGCCTGCTTCTCCCTCTCCCACTCCCCCTGCTTGTGTTCCCTCTCTCGCTGTCTCTTTCTGTTGAAAAATAAATCTTTAAAAAAAAAAAAAAAAAACTTCCTTCACTCAATATCCATGCGTTATACTGCCCTCTAATGGCGATTCAAACGTCAACGTTACCTGCTTAAAAAGGAGGCTGGCTGCTGGAACATAGTATTTTTAAGGTAATGCTGTACTACTGTATTTACATGTTACTTTGAAAATTCTGAATTTCCTCATATAATTCTCACAACAATCTTGTAAGGTAAGCTTGGTAGTTATATGAATTTCAGAGAGTTAATAACTTGACCAGGATCATAAAGGCAATTAGTAGCAGAGCTGGTAAAAGAACCTAAGCTTTTAAAGTTGTAACCTATTTTGAATTTTTTAAAAAAATCTTTTGGAGATATAATAGATTTTAATTATTTTTGAAAAATGAACCAGTACAGATAAGACCAAAATCCCCTTTGTCCACAATCTCCTGTAACAGTCCCTCCCATTCTGAGCTAACCCCCTCTCTTTCATATTCCCCATGTTTATCTGTAACCATATCTAAAATGGGCACTCTCATAGAAATTAATTCAGTAATTTTTTAAAGAAAGAAAAGGAAAAAAAGATTTGGTCCACAAAAATTAGTCTCAAAGTCTTTTTTGCTTTTCAAAAACTTCAAAATATTCTCTTCTGAATGACACAGCATTTTAACTCGCTTTGTAAATAAAAAATATGTACCAGAGTAAAATAATTAAAATGCTCTCTTTTGGACTTAGTATGTAGTGTTAGAAATGTGTATCTTATTAGATATTTGTAACAATGAAACTAAAATTCTAGAATTTTAGAATAAAGAGAAATGCCTTACAAGAAGGCATTACTGGCATGGACGCTTATGCGGTACAGCAAATAAAGTATAAAGCAACTGTAGCTGTCATTCCTAGAAGTATTATAAGAGTCTGACATACTCTGTTTTAATATAAAAATTAATACCTTATCAGTTTCAAAACAAAATTACACTGTTCACTATGCTTAACAGTGATATTCTACTTTACTGATGTCTGAAAATATTCAAAACAATTCCTATAAATGTCTTTAAAAAGTTACAAAAATATAATAAATCATACATCTATTAATTTCATTGTCTCACTGCTCTTGATTTCTTATATATGTTAGTTTCAATTTCACCTTATGTGCCAGGCATAACATTTAAGAAATTATTCTTCACCTATAAAGGGAACAAGTTTTAATTAATTTACTAGACAGAACTCACAAGAGATCAAATAAAAGTGAATCATCCTGTCTGATAAATACACTAAGAAGCAGAACGCTAAAGCTACAAGGTGTTGCAAGAATGGAGACATGACATCTAAAAGTCTATGTGGTGTTAACTAATCTTTTGAGGAGGGGAAAAAAAAAAAAGCAGTTAGAGTAATCAAGCCAAAAAAGAACTTTTACAAACACAGCATAAGATTAAAGCCATATCGATCACTGGTTAATGACCAGTTCACTATGCAACTAAATTTACTCACTTGTCATCATGCTCATAAATATTCAGACCCAAAGCATCAACGCCTAGCCACAATTCAGTTCCCTTTTTATTTTTTATTTCAAAATAGTTGACTCCATACATTTCTAGATCTTGGGCAATCTTCAGGTATTCCATCATAGAATCCTCCCTGTTAAAATAAAGCTTACTGTAATATCCTTAGGTAAAAGTAATACCAAATTACAAAAATACTTTGGATTAAAATTTAGTGCCTTATATTTATTCATGTAAGTCTAATGATCTTTGCGGGATAATTTGATGTACTAGTGTTATGAAATAAAAATACTTTAATTTGATGAAAAACACTAAGAAAATAGCCACCCAAATACCTCAGCATTCCTCTGTGTTCTTCATGCCAGTTCTGTATTCTTTCTTCCCACTGTTCTTTTGTCAGTTTGTGTTGTTCCAAAACACTGTAAGAAAAAAAAAATCTATGAAAAGGTTTCTATTATTCAAACTTAATATTCATTTAAAAGTACAGAATCATTTAGTACCTTAACTGTAATGGCTGTCATAAAAACCTATATACATGATAAAATTGCAGAGAACTAATAAATACATACACATACACAAATGACTGCATATAAAACAGATGAAATCTGAATCAGGTTGATGGACTGTATCAATATCTTGGTTGTGATATCATACTAGTTATGCAAGATGTTACCATTAGGGAGGGCTGGGAGAAGGACAGAGAGAATCCCTCTATTTTTATAATCGCATGTGAATCTAATTCTCTCAAAATAGAAAGTTTCTAGGATCCTGAAATTATTTTAAATAATACATGTTTTTAAGACAGTTATATAGTTTATGGGAATTCAATTGTTTCAAACGAATAAGCTACTGGACCAAAAAAAGGAAAATGACTTTCTCATTATTAGCAGGAAAAATTAGAGAAGAGAGTGAAAATCAAAATTCTTGGGCCTTAATTTCTTCTTTTACATTATGTATTTACTTTTCTTGGTGGTAAATTTAATTTTCTTATTTCTATAGGCAAATACTTTATATAAAATTATACAAGTGGAATAAAGTTATACTTTTTACCACCCCACGTCCTCCAAGTAATCTTTTATTAGTTTCTCTTTTATCCTTCCAGAGTTCCTTATGCAAATGTAAGCAAACATATTTTCTCTTCTACTGATATTTTACACCAAATCAGAAAATTCAACATACACACAATTTACCTGCTCTACACACTTACAAACTATTTCTCTTCTCTTTGGGTCATATAATGATAATTACATATTTTTCTTTACTGGTGAATCCTCAGATCCTACTTTACTAATAGCAAAAGCTGTGGCATTAAAATATTATTGCTTATGGGGCACTTGGGTGGCTCAGTCGGTTAAGCATCTGTCTTCGGCTCGGGTCACAATCCCAGGGTCCTGGGATCGAGCCCCATGTGGGGTTCCCAGCTCAGCAGGGAGCCTGCTTCTCCCCCTCCTTCCAGATCTCTGTCTCTCACAAATAAATAAAATCTTAAAAAAATATATTACTGTTTAGCTGTATAAAAATTTTACATGAAACCTAGGAATGTTTTGGCAGTATAAAAGAATCTCAGAACATAATCTTTCCTTGCACAAGTTACTATTTAGAATGGATTCCTTAATGAGGTCTCAGACAGACCATTATGTTCTTACTATGCCCTGCTCCTTTCTCGGTGTATCCTCTTTTAAGCTCTTAGCTTTTTTGGGAGAAGAGTTTTGTCTTCCCCCTTAGAGCACTTAAGTTTCCACGTTTTTCTTGCCTTTATACTTTTTCTTGCTGCCTGGCCTGGGCTGCTCATCAAAAGGAATGTAATCAGCCTTAAGGGCATAATGAGTGCAGCCAATTGCTGGTACTAAAACATTAACTAAATCTGAAGGTATGGGTTAATTAAATTGGATGCCACTAAGATATATGTTCTAGCTTTTTATATCCTGCATTTCAAATCTCATTTGTTTGCATTTTACATAATGTACTTGTACTATTAATTTGCATGACTTGTTTGCAGGCATTCAAAAATTCCCACCCTCTCTTTCTTCTGTCCAGAAAAAGGTGTCCTTTGTGCCTAAAGCTAATCTATTCAACTTGACTTTAAATCTGTCTATCTACGCCTTTAAAGGACTTCTCCCCTCACTTTCTCAGGATCTATACTCCATCATTTATGACAGGGGACATATTTATTGTCCCTTGCATACATGTATATATTATCATATCTACTTCTTTATGTTATGGAGAGTAAAGGACCACATCCATGTTGCTCACCATTATATGCCCAGTGTCAGTACTGAAAAGGTACTCAAATATTTTCAGAGAAGATAAAGGAATTAAATCACTTCTTTCCCATCTTTTAAAGAACATGTCCATGAACTCATGGTTCCCCAGTTTGTTTTTTTTCTTTTTCACAATCACAACCAAACTTCCTTCGAGAGCTATCCATATTCACTATCTTTCATTTCCAAACCTCACATCCACTGCCCCGAGTCCACCACAATCTGGCTGCAATCACCAACACCATACTGAAGCTGCTTTTACTAAGGTCACTACCAATCTCCTTATTGTTAAACCCAACAGACACATTACTTCTCCCTCATACTCAACCTCTTTGTTACTATTTGACGCTGCTGATCAGTTTCTCCTTAAGGCTTCCTTGTACCTTGGCTTCCATGATTAACAGTCCTCTGGTATTATTCTTGACTCTCTGGCCATTTTTTTCTCAATTTGCTTTACAGGAGTCTCTTCCCCTGTACTTAAAAATTAAGTTCCAACAAGATCTGTCCTAGGCCTTTTTGCTCATTCTGCATGTACTTTCAGCTCCATCTCTTTCATTCCCTTGGGATAATTATCTATTTGTTGCTTATTCCCAAAACTGTATCTATAGTTCAGACTGCTCTCCAAGATCCAGATCCACACCTACAAATGAATACTAGCTATCTTCCTTGGTTATGCTGCAGATGTTTCAAACACAACGGATTCAAAACTTAAATCTTCCTTCTCCAAAATGTATCCCTTCTCCCCTTATCTTGGAAAAAGGTATTACCAACTACCCAGATGCCCAAGTCAGAAACCTGGCACATAAAAACTTATGTCTATCCATCTCTTTTCAAAGGAGTGAGCGATATTATCTTGTGGAGCTGATAATCTACATCACCAGAGAGCTAAAATGTACTGTGGGAGAAAAGATTGCTTATCTGGGCTTTTCCACACAAGAATTTTTTTTTTCTATACAAGAATTAAAAGCACCCATCAAATGGGGCACCTGGGTGGCTCAGTCAGTTGGGCAACCGACTCTTGGTTTCCACTCAGGTCACGGTCTCAGGGGTCGTGAGATCAAGCCCTGCACTGGGCTTTGCATTGAGGGCGGGGCCTGCTTGAACATTCTCTTCCTCTGTCCCTCCATCTGCCCTGCTCTCTCTCTAAAATAAATAAATAAATCTTTGGGGCGCCTGGGTGGCTCAGTCATTAAGCGTCTGCCTTCGGCTCAGGTCATGATCGCAGGGTCCTGGGATCGAGCCCCGCATGGGGCTCTCTGCTCAGCGGGGAGCCTGCTTCTTCCTCTCCCACTCCACCTGCTTGTGTTCCCTCTCTTGACTGTCTCCTCTATCAAATAAATAAAATCTTTAAAAAAAAAGCACCCATCAAAATCATCAAACTGTGTGTAATTTATGATCAAATAACTTGATTACTAATTCCCCCCTCAGGTACTTAAGATGGTGAGAAAAAGTGTGCTATACCATACATAGAATAAGTAAACCACTGTGAAGGCATTTCCTCCATTCTAGATATAAAAATTAGCATTCTGATTTTATGAGCAAGCTTAGAGAGCTTGAAATAGTCCTCCAAAGACTACCAACTTGAAGAATACCTATCTGGACCTTCAAAATTAAAGACCAAATCTTGAAGAGCATTTGCTATCTTCCTCCTTTTTAAACAAAGTGGGTTATAGCACACATGCATTTAAAATAAAGATATTAAATTAATTGTGCTTAAGTGTGATACCAGTGTTTAAAATATTTTTAAAATCACACAACTATTAAATGTAAGCCAATTACTTCATCTGGTGCTCAACCAAACAGCAATCTAATCTCACATTAAAAGAACAACCATTTATGTTATACCTGAGATAAAACATGCCTATTCTTTTATGAACAACTGGGAAATTTTAAGGGTAATTTTGATTATATATAATATTTACCTTATATGCTGATTTAAAACCTAATCTGCTGTGCCTTTTACTAAACATAAGTTATATCTCAATTTTGGTACAGAGCTGTGGAATCACTGTACCGTACACGTGAAACTCGTGTAACATTGTGTGCCAATTATATTTTAATAAAAAATAAGTCAAAACATTAAACCATAACTAAAAATAAAAACTAATCCTTATCTGAAATGAAATTCTACTGTGCCAGTAATCTACTATTTAATTCAATACTTAAAGAAAATCTGAGACCAAGAGGGGCGCGTGGGTGGCTCAGTCGTTAAGCGTCTGCCTTCGGCTCAGGTCATGATCCCGGGGTCCCTGGACGAGCCCCACATCGGGCTCCCTGCTCAGCCAGGAGCCTACTTCTCCCTCTCCCACTCCCCCTGCTTGTGTTCCCTCTCTCACTGTGTCTCTCTCTGTCAAATAAACAGATTCTTAAAAAAAAAAAAAAAAAAAAATCTGAGACCAAGAGCTTAGAGTTGGAATAATAATCAAAACTAAACATACAGGCTAATAGGTGTCTCCTATTCCTGATTCTTTGGTGAACAGTATGCATTATTTTACCTTCTAAGAAAACAATTATTGCAAAAGCATTACAGTGTAACAGTAATAAACAGTGTAACATTTAATAATCAAATATTAAAGCTACCGTGTTTAATGATACCTTATAAAGCATATATTAACACAATACAACTTATTACACAAAAATAAACATTAATGCCTACAACCAAAGGAAACTAATAGACATGAAGTAGTTTCCTTTCTTCCTATTTTATGACCTATGAAAAAGAAACTACCATCTAACAGCTTAAATACTATACAGAAGTAGTGCAACAGTGAAATTTTAGGTTAATAATACACAATTCTGCATTTAAACAGAAAATTTTAAAATTCAGGAATTCCAACTAAGAGCAGTAACACCTTCTTTCCAGGTTCTAAAAGATCTCCATGTACATTCTAGTCCACTACTCTAATTATGAACTGAGATATTTTAAGGTAATATTTGATGCTGTACTTCTTAGATTTCATAAATAATACTACCAACCAACACTTGCACCACACTTTACAGTTAAAACCATACACCATTTAGTTCACGTTCTATAATCATAAACTACGTTAGGCAGAGCAGGATTATTATGCCCATTTTGCATATTCAGGTACAGAGGCTCAAAGATTTCAGGTTATGCACGGAAGGTCACAAAAGTAGTAAAGGGCAGAAATGACATTCAAATTCTAGGTCTTCTGCCTAATGATTTCTTCCTATGCCATGCTATTTTAAAGTAACTATTATAGAAGCAGCAGTATACTGCATATGAGAACAGAGCACTAGACTAGGAGTCTGAAAACTGAGTTTAGAACACCTGTTAGAGGGTGCCTGGCTGGTTCAGTCGGAAGAACATGAGACTCTTGATCTCAGGGCCGTGAATTCGAGCCCCATGTTGGGTGCAGAGACTACTTAAATAAACATGATAACAAAACAATAACAACCTTTTAAAAAGTTAGAAACTGAATTTTAATTCTATAGAGGAAATACAGCGTGGCACTTCTTATTCTCAAAGCATTTATGAAGCACCTATCTGCCTGTGCGAGAATTTTTACCAAGCAGTGGCAGTCACATCCTCCCCCGAGCCCGAATTACCACTACCTCCATTTACTGCTTACCCTGTGGGAATGAGGAGAAGAGGCAGAAAGTTTAAGTAATTATAGCATATATAAATCCATGTAGCTACCAAGTCATGACTTTTAAAAGTATATTCTCTCTCTAGCAACTTAAAAAAATTGTCTTATCTATTTACAAATTTCTTTTTCAAAGAATTTAACATAAAATCATATTTCACTTACCGCTGGGGTAGGAGTCTATCATTAGCCAGGTAGCCTGGTTTATGAATCTCTTTATTATAATCTCCATACTTGGCTTGGACAGCATAGGAAGCCAAAAGAACTGCAGTTTCTGGCGGACAATATATCTCATCATTCAAGATGGCTTCCTTAACTTGCAAGAAGAAAAGTCTCTGGGTTATTTCTTGAATTAATTCCTCAGAAACGTCTTCAGGAAAGAATTTAGCTCTGAATTTGAACTGTAAAGGATTCTCTTTTTTAACATCTTGCTGTGTCACCTGGAAGAGTAATTTCAATTTCAAGCATAATCAACAAAAATCCTAAGTTCACATCAAATTCTTTTTTAGAAGTAGCACGTGAAACACAAATAAGATTCTAAATCATAAGACTCTAGTGTGTGTAAGATTCTAAAATTATAAAAAGATATGTAAGGAAAAAGATTCCATGCGCTAACGGATGTAACCTAGACTAACTCATAGGTCCTGTCTAATAAGTTGAAACTTCCCTTAAGAAGCTTATCCATATTTATTATGTGTTAAGTTTTCAAAGAGGAAAAGTGAACGTTATCTTTTTTCTAAAATGATGCGTTAATGGTAACTTACTGAATTAAAAGACATGACACCTTTAATAACTCAGAGATAACTGTAAAAGGAGGCCTCTGACTGAAATCAGTCAGACCATGAACTTTTCTAGTACAAATTCATGATCACAATAACTTCAAAGTAATTTAATTATCAGCTGAATTTTATACATATTTTACCTTTTTATTTAGTTTAAGCCACGTAGAATAACCTTTGCTGTCCACATACTGCAGCCCAAAAAACCAGACCTCACGCAAACCAACTGTTTTCACCACCTTAAAAAAAAAAAGTTCAATTTCAGTTCAACATTCACAGTGTAAGTAAATGGTACTATATTTCAAAAGAAAAACAAAACTACATAGGTATTATAGGTATATTTCTTTGCTATAGAGATCTTTCTTAAATTTAGTATATTAATTACAGGAATATTTCTAAAAACTTAAATTCAGGTTTTGTATATATATTTTGTAGTGTCATTTCAATCTTGTTTGATCCACTTTTTTTAGACCTCTTTTTCTTTCTCATCTCCTGTCATGACCCCAATAGGTAACAAGTCTGGGAAAATAAAAAGCTGCCATAATCCCACTTTCCTGTTTCAGTATACCCCCCACAACTACACAACTGGGTAGGCAAAGCAAATAGTATCATTTTGGTGATGAGTCTCTGAAGACATTTAAAAGCCATACCCTAGGTAATCCAACTGGTGATTTCATACCCACTTCTACTACCCTTCACTATCAAATATTCTGTTCTTCCCTCACTGAGCAAGAAACCATTCTTGGAACATGCCCAAATTTTACCCTTCTACAGCTCTGTTCATGCCTTTTCTTCTACCTAGAATGTTTCTTCTGTATTTTTACCACCCGCTGAATAATTTATTCCTCAAGCCCCAGTTCAACTAACATGCTTCTGTGAATGAAGCTATCCTATTATATAGATAAAATTGACCACTTGTTCCTTGATGTTCTATATTAAAACAAGGGAAGTGAGCCAGGAGAGGTGAGAGTTTAATATTTTAAAAGCTTTACATAAAGATTCAACATTATTATTTTTTTAAAGATTTTATTTATTTGACAGAGAGAGACACAGCGAGAGAGGGAACACAAGCAGGGGGAGTGGGAGAGGGAGAAGCAGGCTTCCCGCAGAGCAGGGAGCCTGATGCGGGGCTCGATCCCAGGACCCTGGGATCATGACCTGAGCTGAAGGCAGACACTTAACTGACTGAGCCACCCAGGCGCCCCTAGTTTTTTTTTTTTAAGATTTTATTTATTTATTTTAGAGAGAGAATGAGAGAGCATGCGAGCAGGGTGGGGAGCAGGGCGGGGGGAAGAATCTCAAGCAGACTCCACACTGAGCATGGAGCCTGACGTGGGGCTCAATCGCACTGCCCTGAGATCATGACCTGAGCTGAAACCAAGAGTTGGACGATTAACCGAATGAGCCACCCAGGTACCTCCTCAACATTAGTTTTAAAATAATAAATATTCTTGGCTTATTTTTTAAAAATATCTAAAAAAATGTATCAGGCATTTAGATTTCAAGATAGCATACCAAAGCCTTTGGAAAGTTTACTTTCCTTCTCTTGAAAAATTTCACTGAAGTTACACACACTAAAAAAAAATATTTAGCTGTGCTGGAAAAGTTACCATCAAAAGAACAAAAATTGAGAAGTTTCTGGATGATGTATCATCAGGACTCATACTGATACAAAAGCTGATCAATACCAAACAAACAAAACTTCAATGCAAAGAAGATCCCCAAAAATTTAACTTTGGCAAAAGACAGGTTGTCCCAACAGAAGAGCCACAGAAAACATTCCAGCTCAGAGTGACAGAGTAGGAAATTTTCATAGGTCAAGAGCAACTGAGAGAACTCACTATACCCAAGGTAAAGCCTGCTTTTACCTCCTTAGATTTGGGCTCAAGAGAAGCTGTCAGGAAACAGCTGTGACTGTAAGAATTAACTGCTTAGAGAGCACATTACAGATAACAATACTCCTTAATCCAGAACTTCATTTACACTATGAAATGTGTGTGTGCATCAAATACTGTCCCATGTACTTAACATGGATTCTCATTTAATTCTCACAACAACCTTCCAAGGGAAGAGTGCTATCATCATCCTAACTGTACAAATGAAAAAAAAATAAGGCAAAAAGAGTAATCTGTCCCAAGTCAAACAGCTAGATCTGGGACTCCAATGCAGGCAGTGTGGCTCTAGAGCCCATACTTTTAAACTACTACACAGTTCTGCACTATAACAAATGAGGTTTCCTTTCTCCTGGTATCTAAACTAAAGCAATTCTACTTAACAAAAAAAACAAGTAATTTATTTCTCAGTATACAATACCAAAGAAGCCCATTTGCTGATTAGTTTTTGACTACCACAAACATTTTACTCAATTAACATTTCAACTGGTTATGAAGTAAGCACAATGAATGCTTAACTCCATTCACATTTTTTATTCAAGTAACACAGATGACATACTTAGAAATAGGAAGCCTAGAAGAATCAACAGAAGTAGGTCACAGTTCACAAAGTAAAATATGTACAAGGTATGTACAATGCATGCAGCTGCTTATGATTTTAAGAATTTGTTCACTCTATTAAAAAACTTTTCATCTTACAAAAAACCTTATCAGGGCTTTCAAGATCAGCAATTACCTATTCAGGAAGATTAAGTATACTACTTTGTCAAAAAAAGAAACAACTTTCCAGGAATTTTAAAATTTTATATATTTTAGATCAGTATGTGATAGTATGACACCTAATAAAACCAAAATATCTACTAGGTAACTTACTGCTATGTGCTAGAAACTATCTCCTGTTCTCTAAGGTCAAGGAGGTCTGACCACAGACTACTACTCTCCTGCCCAAATGTAAAAGTTCATTTAAACATCCTCCCCTGAGTCTCATGCCCTCATCACCTTCCTCCCCCTTATAATCATCAAGTCACCTTCCTAATCACTTGGCCTCAGGGCACCAATCTCTTCCCTCCCCTTCTCAGTAAAACATCACTTAAAACATTATTTACTACATCACCTGGGGAGCTTAAATAAATAAATATTAATGCTTCCAGTAGGCCCCAGAGAATTAAATCAGAATCTCTGAAGGTGGTCTGCAAGCATTGCCTTTTTCTTTTTTTTTTTCCCCAAAAGCTCCACAGGTGACTCAAATGTGCACTCAGGAGTGAGAAAAAAAGACAAGACCGGTAATCCAAATTCCTCAACATGACACCCATGGTAGCTTATCATAAGGCTAGGACACCGAACTGCTGTCAGGTGCCTACAGACAGACGATGATTGCCTGCCTATGCTCCCGCCATCCCCTCCATCGGGGATCTCTACCCATCCCACTAAGTACAGTATGTTTTCATTCCTTTGAGTCCTCATTACAATGCTTTGCTTGGAGGATGTTAAAGAAATACCTGCTGATAATTATTTTTAAAAAGTCCTCTCTCTCCAATCTAGGAATGAGAAAGAATAGCTCTACAGCTATTCAAGATAACTGAAAAGGTACCGTGAAAAATTCTAAGGGCCACACTGTTGCAATACCAGTAAAGTTACAGAAAAACGTACAAAGAAGTTGCAATAGCTTCATGTTGTATGTTGTCAGAAGTTGCACACTTCATGTGGTTAAATGATACCTGGTCAAAAAGCTGTTTGCCAGTAGTATTGGGCTGAATGGCAAATTCCAGCTCAGCATCCATGGTGGTTACTCTTACGTTGATCTGCAATAAAAACAGAAGGGAAAATCACTAGGAAAGAAAATATACTTATTATTAAACATGAGGCAATATTTTTATCTGATTTATAAAGTATAATATGTAGGCAATAAAGAGCTACTCCATAATTGTACCTAAGATTTTCTTTAATAAAGTGATAGTTTGATTTTAATCACAGGAAATCTTAAATCTATTTTAAAAAGAAAGAGCTTATAAATCCTCTTTTAAAAACATTTATTGAGTACTTGGCATACACTAGGCACCAGGCCATGAGCTTTCCATGTTCTCATTTAGCCCCTGCAACAATACTAGGAAATATGCTCATTTCTATAGAAACTGAGAGTTCCCCATTACTTGCCTAATGGCACAGGGATATCAAACAGCAGAGTAGGTATTTCAGGAGAAACATAACTCCAGATTCTTTGAATGGCATTCACTATTCCGTATTTTTTTTTTTTTTTAAGATTTTATTTATTTATTTGAGAGAGAGAGAATGAAAGAGAGAGAGCACATGAGAGGGGGGAGGGTCAGAGGGAGAGCAGGGAGCCCGATGCGGCACTCGATCCCGGGACTCCAGGATCATGACCTGAGCCGAAGGCAGTCGCTTAACCAACTGAGCCACCCAGGCGCCCCAACTATTCCGTATTTTTCAACACAAAATTCAGATACTCAGTTTTATCCTGCTGCAAAAGTATTCACTTTATAGAAAGCATTCATCGAATGACCTTGTATTTGTTAGACTCATAAATTCTTTTTTCTATAAATACCTTTCTACAAAGCTGGACATTTCACCAAAAACTTAACATGCCTTAACTAAAATAATTTTAACTTCACAGTAGCATCTTCACTTAGAATTCACCATCATGTGGTACAAATCGATCTTTAACTCACACTATTCGAATTCTGAATCTGACTTATTTCTCCTTTACACTTTTTTACTCATTGTTAACAACCGTGCCTCTGCACACGTAGCTTTTATCTGAACTACCTTCTTTAATCAAATAAATCTTATAAATCACCAAACCTTCTGTGATACAATAAATATGTATTTGGTCTTCATTCTGTTTCCTGGCAGAGAGCCCCTAAAACCTTTGGAATTTCCTGATAGAAGTGAGTTGAGTCTTTTGTTATTCATAATAAGCCCCTTTCAACCATACCTGAGTTTACACTAATGACTCCTAATGACTCATGATGGACCCCTGACACCTTCAGGATGCAGCGCGCAGCCAGAAGAACCAACCATGTGCTTAGAGCCATCCTAACCTCCAGAAAGAAGAGAAGCTGGGAAGTGAGTTAATCATCAATGGCCAATAATTTAATCCCTTATGCCTACATAATGGAAACTTCATTAAAGCCTAAACAAAGGAGTTCACAGAGAGTTTCCAAGGTGGTGAATGCATCCACATGCAAAGAGAAAGGTGGACCGCAAACTCTACAAGGACAGAAGGTCCTGTGCTCAGGACCTTTCTGGACCTTGCCCTATGTACCTCCTCTTCATCTTTCATTCATATCCTTATAATATCCTTCATATTAACCAGTAACAATAAGTAAAAGTGTTTTCCTGAGTTCTGTGAGCTGTTACAAGGAATTACAGTACCTGAAGAGGGGATCATGGGAATCTCCAATGTGTAGCCAAGTTAGAAATGTGGGTAACATGGGGACCCACCACTTGTGATTGGTGTTTGAAGCGGACAAAGGCTTGAGGGACTGAGCCCTTAACCTGTAGTGTCTGTGCCACTCCGGGTAGCTGGTGTCAGAATGAATTAAACTGCAGAATACACAACTGAGGTCTACACAGAAGTAGAGAATTGCTTGATGTGGAAAACTTATACATCTATTACCAGAAATTTTGAGTCAAGAAAAAGTTTTCCGTTACCCATAAACCTACCATTCAACTTAACTAGAAATGGCAAATAATGCTATAGATACCAATGTATTTCTTGTGAATTTCTCTGTCCCAATCCCACAGGTTAAGCACTAAGAATAGTTTCACCACAAATGTAGGTATCTCTATGTAAAATATTTAGCTTTTCTTGATTTTTAGCTGTATTAAAGTTGTACAGTACTGGCTAAGAAAGTCTTCTTTCTTGATGTGCGCAATGGTTGGGTATATTTATTTTATGAAAATTCAACTATACACAATACGTTCTTCTCAGTTTGTATATTCTATTTCAATAAATAAAGTTTCAACAAAAACTATACCACATAGTAGTTTTGTTTTCTCACCATTTCTAAGCATCATTGATTTTCCTGTGAGTAGTTGCAATTCATTTATTTTTACTGCATAGCAGTAAAATTACACAATTACTGCTGGGCAATAATTTACTCATTTTCTTGTCAATGGATATTAAATTGTTTCTAATTTTTTGGCTATCAAGAACAATACTGTTATGAACATTCTTGTGTATGACTTCTAGTGCATATGTATCTGAGTTTATCTAGAAGTATATACACAGACAAACTCCTGGGTGATAAAGTATACAAGCCTTAACCTTTACCATGTAAAAGTGAACTGTGCTCCAATATGAACGTATCCACTTACACTCCATCAACAGTATATAAGAATTCCTGCTGAGCTGTATTTTCACCAACAGTGGGTATTATCCCATTTTTGAAACATCTGACAATACAGTGGGTGTAAAATGACATCTCAATATGGTCTTACTGTGCAGATCTCTGATTCCTAAAGAGGCTGAGAACGTTTTCGTATGTGTACAATGCAGAATTCTAAGACAGTCCCCATGATCTCCATCCCTTGGTGTCACACTCAGGATTATGTTACATTACACGACAAAAGGGATTTTGCAGATATACTTAAGGTTACTCATCAGTTGACCTCAAAATCGGAGCATTATGTGAGTGGAGCTAAGCTATTCACAGGAGTCCTTTAAAAGCAAAGCGTTTTCTCTGATTGAAAAAGTCAGCGAAATTCAAAGTGTGACAGGAATTTGACATAAAAGAGGTTCTCCATTACTGAGTTGGAGGGGCCAGGGGGCAAGGACCCGACTCCAGCCTCTAGGAGCTAAGAGTGACCCCTGGCCAACAGCTAGTAAAAAAAATGGGAACTTCATCCTCCAGTAAAGAAGGATGGATCATTTTTGCAAGAAAATGAATTCTGCCAATAGGAATAAGCTTGAAAGAGAACCCGAGCTCCAGATGAGAATGCAGCTGGGATAAACCTTGATTTCAGGCTGGTGAAACCCTGAGCAAAGAACCTAGTTACATTATCCCATATTTCTGCACACAAAACTGTGAGATAATAAATGGGTATTGCTTTAAGCTACTAAATTCGTGGTAATTTGTTATAGAATAAAAGAAAACTAATATGGTACATTTACTGACCAGTCTCCCCATCTTTGGGAATGTCTGTTAACATCTACTGCATATTTTTCTATTGGGTTTTCTTTTTCTTTTTACTATGTAGGAGATCTTTATATATTCTAGATACTGATCCCTTGTCAGTTATTTATATCACAAAAAAATCTCCCAGTTTGTAGTTTGTCATTCTACATTATGATGTATCCTTCTTTATGGTAAACATGTATTTTTTTAAGATTTATTTATTTGAGAGCGAGAGCACAAGAAGGGGCAGGGGTAGAGGGAGAAGGGGAAGCAGACTCCCCACTGAGGAGGGAGCCTGACGCAGGACTCGATCCCAGGACTATGGGATCATGACCTGAGCTGAAGGCAGATGCTTAACTGACTGAGCCACCCAGGCACCCTATGGTGAGCATATTCTTTATTTTAACGTTGAATTTATCAATGTTTTACATACAGGTATCAATTTTTTTGGCCATATTTAAGAAATCCTTCTCTACTCTGGAGTCATAAAGATGTTCTTAGATTTCATCCTAGGGGTGCCTGGGTGGCTCAGTTGGTTAAGCGACTGCCTTCAGCTCAGGTCATGATCCTGGAGTCCCGGGATCGAGTCCCACATTGGGCTGCCTGCTCAGCAGGGAGTCTGCTTCTCCCTCTGACCCTCTTCCCTCTCGTGCTCTCTATCTCTCATTATCTCTCTCTCAAATAAATAAAATCTTTAAAAACAAACAAACAAAAAAAAAGATTTCATCCTAAAGTTCTGTTTCTCATAATTTGTCTTCGATGATTTTTGCTTATGATTTAAGGTAGAGATCTAATTTCATTTTTTAATACCTATAGGATAATGATATAGGGATTTAAAATAACTAAGTGATATATACTGATTTACTTCCCAAAGACTATTATGTCACAGATCAAACGTCTATAAGGTACAGGGTCTGAATTTGTGCTCTCTATTCTATTGCTCTGGTTGACTAACAATTCTGTCAAAACCACGTTTTAATTATGACATTTTTAAATAAGTCTTGCTATATGGTTGGAAATGTCTCCCCTCATTATCTTCAAAACTTGTGAGCTATTCTTGGCTTTTTGTTCTTGTTCCTGCCTTCACACAAAATCGTAAACTTTCAAAATACCCCACTATGATTTAAATTCGAACTACACTAAATTCATCAGTACCTTCAGGTGAGAAATAACATCTTTTCAATACTGACTATTCCTATCCATGCTGTGGAGAGGAATCCTATCCTATCCATTGTCTTCTTTAGCATTTTCAAAAAAGCGTTTATAATTTTCTCCATAAAAATCGTATTAATCAGGGTGCCTGGCTGGCTCAAGGTCTCAAGGACTCTTGGTCTCAAGGCTGTGAGTTCAAGCCCCCTGCTGGGTACAGAAATTACTTAAAAAAATAAAATAAAATCTTAATAAAAATCATATTAATCATTTTAGATATCTTTCCCATAAATCACTATGACTTTGTCACTATGATAAATTCAGGTCCATAATCCCGACATCCCAAAAGCATCAAAAACAAGTTTAGTAGCTAATTTTAGCAAAACCTTAACATGAAGGAATGTGAGACTATCTGGTGGATTATTTTATCCCATTTCAAATGAATATTTATACAATGACCTATAAAAGTACTAATGTTTCTGAGGTGATACACCAGACCTTGAGGGAAGCTTCATGACATAATGACATATGAACATAATGTATTGTATATTCTTTTTTCTGAAATCCAAAAAATTCCAAATACTGAAACTCATCTAGCTTAAAGGGTTTCAAACACAGGATTGTGAATTTGATGAAACAGCTTGCCAAAACTGTTTTGCTTTTGTAGAAATGCAAGTGATTTCTATATTGATCATTTTATCAGTTCCCTTGCTGACTGTTAAAACGAGCCTGTAAATCCTTGTTTATATAAATCAGGGGTCAGAAAATTTTTCCTACACAGGGCCCAACAGTAAGTATTTTGTAGGCTGTACCGTCTGTCGCACCTGCCCCACTATGCTACTCCAGCAACAAAGCAGTTACTACAGATCATAAACAGCGAGCGCACCACATTCCAATAAAACTAGTCACTGAAATTTGAATTTCATATAATTTTCACAGGTGAAATATTATTCTTGCGGTTTTTTTAATCTACTGAAAATGTAAAAATCATTATTAGCATGTAAGCTGTACAAAAACAGGTGGTGAGCTGAATTTGGCCTGCAGGCTGTAACTTGCCAATCCCTGATACAACAAACCATCTTTACATCTTCAAATAGTGTTTCCTTCCTTTCTTGTCCTTCAGCTTTTTTTTTTTTCTGTGCAGGTTTCCCCATTCCATGTTGAATAGCAACAATGATAGCATCTTTTGTCTTGTTCTTGATTTAAAAAAAAAAATTCCCATTTTTAACACATTAAAAAGAGCTTTTGCAGTTACGGTTTCTTCTATACCTAGCTTAAGAAGTGTTGGGTTTTTGTTTTTAAATCATGAATAGTTCAATCCTAGAACTCCTCTTTCTGAATTTATCATATGATTTATCTCCTTTAAACTAACCATGTGATTGTGGTATAGAGTGCTTGCTATTTGACCACCAAATTCTAACAGAATTATAGTTGGGTATATGGCTACTGAGCTACAGAACCATTTCTCAAGGTCTCTTGCAATTAGATATGGCTCTATGACTAAGTTCTCACCCACAGAACAGGACAGAAGAAACACAGGCCACTTCTGGGCCTTGGCATAAAATAACGAGCATGCTTCTCTATGCTTTTTCCTCCCTTTGCCCCTGACTGACACCCAGACAAAGCAGTGAATTTATTCCTAAGTATTTTATGCCTTTGATGCTGTTACAAATGGATTTTTTTACTTCATTTTTCAAATGTTGCTACTAGGATATAAGAAAGGCTACTGATTTTTAAAAATACAACCTTGTGTCCAATTTTGCTAAGTTCAGTTATAGTTCTGGTAGTTGTTTTTTTTAGATTCCTGAATATTTTCTACATAAACAATTATACCATCTGCAAATAGAAAAATTTGGGGCGCCTGGGTGGCTCAGTCGTTAAGCGTCTGCCTTCGGCTCAGGTCATGATCCCGGGGTCCTGGGATCGAGCCCCGCATCGGGCTCCCTGCTCCGCGGGAAGCCTGCTTCTCCCTCTCCCACTCCCCCTGCTTGTGTTCCCTCTCTCGCTGTGTCTCTCTCTGTCAAATAAATAAATAAAATCTTTAAAAAAAAAAAAAAGAAAAATTTACTTCTGGGGTGTCTGGGTGGTTCAGTCCTTAAGCATCTGCCTTTGGCTCAGGTCATGATCCCAGGGTCCTGGGATCCAGCCCCGCATCGGGCTCCCTGCTCAGCAGGAAGCCTGCTTCTCCCTCTCTCACTCCCCTGCTTGTGTTCCCTCTCTAGCTGTCTCTCTGTCAAATAAATGAATAAAATCTTAAAAAAAAAAAAAAAAAGGAAAGAAAAATTTACTTCTTCCTTTCTGGTGTTTATGCCTTTTATTTCTTCTTCTTCTCTCCCTCCAACAATGCAAAATCACACTTTGTTACCTACCTGCTGAGTCTTTAAAGTAATTCCAAAGAGTATTCATGTGAGAAAACACTAATAGCTATAACCAATGATTTTTTTTAAAAAGATAACTGGCCCAAAGAAACATTGAAAAAAACACCCCAAAATTGTTGGATGAAGTTTAAAAACATTTATGCCAAGAGAAAAGGAATAAACCTTAGTCAAAAACTACATAATTATAAAGCTAAATAAAATCATACACACTCCCTTAAATTAAAAAAAAAAAAAAAAGACTATATAATATCAGCATCAGTATCACTAGCACTGAAGCTAGAATTATGAGAAAATTAATGCATGGATCCTTCCAACCTCTCATTACTTCTTCCTGTAACAAGAAGTTACTATTTACTGAACAGTGGATGTGTACCAAATTCTTCTCATTCTCATCAAAGTCCCTTAAGTAACTAACTACATCTCCATTTTTTATAGGAGGAAATTAAGAATTGGAGCCTGAAGTAACCTATCAAAAGTCACGGAGGGGAAGTAGCAGAGCCAGGGTATGAACTAAGACAGTTTGGCTCCAGAACCCATGAATTTTCATCTTCACTGTAGTGTTACCTCTACCTCTTCCTCACTGGCTCACAGAGTACTTCATTGTAACCACATTAATCTAAAACAAGCCATAGCAGTATCAGTGCCTTTTTCTTCCCAATGACTCTACCATAACATTTTGCCTTGTTCCAAAAGGAATTTAATGCTACTGATATTTTATTAACTAGTGGTAAAAGTATTTATTAAGTAGTGGTAAAAGTAAAATACACTTACTGGTTTCGGCATTGTCCTTCTCTTTTTGATCACCTTCCTTAAAAATTCACTTTTATGAATTCTGATGTCACCTTCAGTTAAAGAAAAAAGAAAGCATAATGGATCTATTACTTTTATATAATGCCTTGATTTTAATGTAATTTGTACAGAATAAAAATTAAAACATTTTAAATTGAGTTTAACACAGAGCTCTCTAAAAATAAAAAAAAAATAAAGTAACACAGAACTCTCTTATTCTAATTTTCAATGTCTTTTATTATCATCTTCTCTGAAAATATTTATAGCTGTGATTTAAAATAGCACACATCTCGGGGCGCCTGGGGGGCTCAGTCGTTGGGCGTTCTGCCTTCAGCTCAGGTCATAATCCCAGCGTCCTGGGATCGAGCCCCGCATCAGGCTCCCTGTTCAGTGGGAAGCCTGCTTCTCCCACTGAACACAAGCCCTCTCCCACTCCCCCTGCTTGTGTTCCCTCTCTTGCTGTGTCTCTCTCTGTCAAATAAATAAATAAAATCTTTAAAAAATAAATAAATAAATAAAATAGCACACATCTCAAACATAATCTAAAGCATACCGATCACCAACCGAAAGTTTTAATTTACTCAGAGACAACACATAGCAAGGAAGCAAGACTGCTAAGGACCCAAATGCTGTCTCTGTCTGCATCCGGTTCACCTCTACACCCAGCCTGGGAGAGGAGAGGGATAGTAAAGGGGAAGATATTTCAAATTATAAAGTGATGAACTCAAGAACACTTTTTAACCTTTTTTCTTACTGACAAAGACAAAAGGAAATTCTGATTAATATAAACTCTAGAAACTCTAGAAAATTATCTCTTCCTTTTTTTAAAAAAGATTTTATTTATTATTTATTTGAGAGAGAGAGAGAAAGCATGAACACGTGGAGGGAGAGGGAGAAGCAGACTCCCCACTGAGCAGGAAGCCCGATGCGGGACTCGATCCCAAGACCCTGAGATCATGACCTGAGCCGAAGGCAGACACTTAACCAACTGAGCCACCCAAGTGCCCCTTATTTTTTCCTCTTGAAAGCTGAAAAACCTGAGTAAAAACATATTGAGTAGTTTATTTACCGAAGGTGTATTAAACAGCCACAGAGCACACACTAGCAATCTGCATGCTACTTACCAGCAAGCTGGTGGCCTTCACTAAAATTTAGAGTTGTCCTTGAGACCACTGTTAAACTTTATCTTCTCCCTGTAAAGCAAAACAAGTTAATCCTAATCCAAGAAAACCATCATGCTATACTCTTAGAGTAAATGTTCTTAAAAACATCTAACAAACCAACCAAAAGATCTAACATTCTTAATCATTAGTTGTCTAAAAAAATGACATATTATTCCAATTTGAAAACCTTCAGTGAGGTATATTAAATTATTACTTGAAAATCAGCTTCCATTGATAATATGTCTACCAAGAAAATTCATCCATTATACTAGCTTCAATTAAATTAATATACAATTAATTGTTTTAAAACTTCAGTGTCAACTGCTTTTTAATATGCTACAATAAACCTGAATATTCTCCATATCGGAAAAAAAATGAAACATCATTTCCTTACATTTTACTCAATCATGTGCCAAATAAACCTCTCTTTAAAAGAAACCTCTACCTGAGACATTTTTTATCTAATAATTGAGCTATGAAATTCATTTCCTTAACTCTTAGCTAGGAAATGTTAACACTCTCTCCCTACAGTCAGTCACCTACTTTCATGAACCTAGCGTACTTCAGACCTATCTTCTCATTCTCTAGCCTCTTTTCATTCCGCTACTACTGTCTTAATTCATCCTTATCATCTCAGGTCTTAAAACATCCTCAAAATTGACCTGCTTTTAACATCTATAAATTCCCAAATCTGTATCTCTAGAACTTGCTTGGCTAACTTGCCTTGCTCAATGTCTAGATTATCTCAAATGTAACACGGCCAAAACACTTACATCTCTACCTTATAGCCAAATCTGATTTTCTACAAGTCTTGGTGACTTATTTCTAGAAAGTTATCACAGTATTCCCTCATGATTTTTTGTATCTACTACACTGGCAGTTATGATCTTTTCATTCCTAATACTGTTAAATTTTACCTTCCGTTTTGCTTGATTAATCTTGCCAGAAGTTTGCTTAATTTATTGATCTAAAGGCCAGCTTTCAGTTTCGTTGATCTGTTTATTTTCTTTTTTTGTTAATTTCTTTTTCCTTATCACTTTTCATTAGTTGGCTTTACTCTGTGGCTCATTTTCTAATCCCTAAAATTAAAACTTTAAGTAATTCCCAATTTTTTTTCTTTTCTAGTATGTGCATCAAGGTCATAAACTAAATATGTCCAAGGCAGCGCCATATACAAAGTATCCCCCTATTTTGTCGAGAATATTTTAAAATAACTTTTATCATTTGAATAAAGTAATCAAGTATGTATTTATAAGTATATTTAAATATTTAAAAAATCTATAAAATATTGAAACAATACTTTTGCCTTCATCTCTTATTTCACAGAACTCAGAATTTCTTTAAACTCTTCACACAAATGAGACAGATTATACAAGCACTTTTTGAATCAGCATATAATACTATTACTGAAATTTTTATCCCAAACCACACAATCCATTCATATAAAACATTGGGAATTTCTTTTCCTATTTGTACTGTTAGAGTATATTTTCATATCTACAGTGTAACCACTGTATTGCTCTTTTTAAAAACCAGATCTGTTCTAGATTTGCCTTTTTTTAATGCTTAAACCACTTAGCAAATGAACTCTGTGAGCTTTCCAAACTCACATATACTCAAGGCATTTCAGGTCAAAGTGCCTGTTTTAAATAGTGCTTTCAAGCCCAAGAAAAAGAACAAAGCAACAACAGAGTTCCTAAAAACACAAATATAAATCTCCTTTTCTGGGGAGTATATTTTTAAATGTCTTGCCTTGTATTTATTTTATTTATTTATTTTTTAAGATTTCTATCTATTCATTGAGAGAGAGAGAGAGAGAATGGTAGAGAGCATGAGAGGGAGGAAGGTCAGAGGGAGCAGCAGACTCCCTGCTGAGCAGGGAGCCTGATGCAGGACTTGATCCCGGGACTCTGGGATCATGACCCAAGCCGAAGGCAGTCGCTTAACCAACTGAGCCACCCAGGCGCCCTGTCTTGCCTTATATTTAAAACCATACCATTTTACTGAGCAAAATAAGTCAATCAGAGAAAGACAATTATCATACGATTTCACTCATGTGGAATTTAAGAACAAAACAGAGGATCATAGGGGAATGGAGGGAAAAATAAAATAAGACAAAATCAGAGAGGGAGACAAACCGTAAGAGACTCTTAACTCTAGGGAACAAACTGAGGGTTGCCGGAGGGAGGTGGGCGGGGGGGTGGGATAACTGGGGGATGGGCATGAAGGAGGGCCCGTGATGTGATGATGAGCCCTGGGTGGTCTATGCAACTGATGAATCAGTGATCTCTACCTCTGAAACTATTAATACATGTTAATTAATTGAATTAAAATAAAATAAAATACCATTTTTCTAAGTATCACTTTAGTGATTTCCCACACAGGTTTTTATATGTAGTTTTTTCAATGGCTCTACAAGTTTCCCTTTCCAGTTTTGATCTCTAATCATGACTAAGAAATTTTTTTAAAAGATTTTATTTATTTAAGAGAGAACAAAAGTGAGAGAGAGCACAGAGGGAGAGGGAGAAAGAAATTTTTTTTAAATTTTCAAATGGA